AAAACAAACTCTCCTATAGTCACTGAAGTGGCTCAACCCTAGCTGTTTTTCCCATTATTTTTCAGCTTCACCTGTCCTTCCTCCTAAAGGAAGCTCATTGGATGGATGAAGTGCTGATTGTTAAACTCGGCCTTGATACACAAAGGTGAATCGTGATCCACTATTTAGTGCAAGGATTTGTCACTGATCCTTAAAAAACAGAAGATTGAAATTTTCTTTTCGTAAATTATATAGCAGATTTGAGTTTTCTCTAGCAGATTTGAGTTTTCTCCCTTAGTAGTGTCTCCCTCACTTGAATCCCCTTGTTCTTTTTTGAATGGAAGGTAAAGGCATTGAGTTACAGAAGAAAATAGAGAGGTTTGCATGATCCTAGCCTTTGCCTCTCTTTGGCATCTGTGGTTTATATCAAAGTCATCTGCGATGTGTATTTGGGAGGAGAAAAGGTCGGGAAAAGAGGGGAACTGGACGTTACCTTTACCTCTGGTTGGTGTTTATCAATCCTCAAGTTCAGGTACTTGAAACTGTGATGATTGCACCTGGTTTTCACCTTGGGCATTGTCTCCCTGAGACTTTTTATTTGAGACTTTGTGTACTTTATTTTTAAACATGTATGTTAAGATGTTCCTAGATTGTTGTGTTATGACAGAAACAAAGGAAATTTCTTTGCTGGGCCATAATAGAAAGAATCCTGAAATGAGTCTTGAATAAATACACTTAACATGCACCAGTTAGTCATGTTGACCTCACTGGTAAGTCAAGGCAATTAAATTCTAGTCCAAGATTTATTAAGTACCTACTGTGTTTCAAGTAATATGCAAAACAACAGAGTTAAGACAGCATACTTTTGTTCTTGGCAAACAAGACAAAGATAATATTCTGTGCCCTGATAAAGTATAGTCATTCTGTGTTGGACTCAATCCAACTCCTCTTTCTAGCCTACCACCCCCTCTCCTCCTTCCTTCCTTCTTTAAAAATTAGAAACCAGTCTTACCTCAACCATTGTCAGTCTCTGGTTCTCAGTGAGAGTCCGCTTTCTCCTTTTATTCCTCTACCCACCTACCTATTTCCCGCCCCTACACCCATATGACTCTCTATGGTTATTGTGTACGTTTGTAGGTTTTCTCTTTCCTTTAAACCCCCTTGAACAAACTCAACATACATTTCGGGAGCACCTATGATGTGCAAAGCCCTGTGCTAAGCTCTGAGACAAATACATGATCGCTAGATATATGAGGCTCAGTTCCTTCTTTCAAGATGCTTGTGTTCCAATGCAGTAGATATCTAGCCACATGGCAGGGTGAAAGACGGATGAGGTAAGAATGACCAACTGTAGACAGTGCAGACGAAAGAGATTTTCTTTGCAATTGAAGGAGTGGAGGGGAGAGAAATGCAAGGGGAGATGCGAAGATTCAAAATTGCTCTTGCCCCTTCATTTTTTCCAGTAAATATAACCACCTCATTCCTAGCTAAAAGGTTTTTCTGTGACTTGGTCCATGCAGTGCTGAACCTTTCCCCATATAGGATTGTCTTAGCAAATGTATGAACATGCCTTCCATCCTTCCAAAAAGACGAAAACTGTTTGTATTCAGGGGCTGGCTGGCTATCTGACCCACTTAGCTTCTGATTTTCAGCCCTTTCTTTGTTTAATGAAAAACAGTGACATGCCAAGATGGCAAAAAGAGGAAAGCCTGTGTAATGAAAGGGATCCTTACTGTTTCTTCACATAGCAATACCATATAGCTTTGCCATGTTTGCGCTTGAAGGTTAACATTCATTGCATCTACATGATTGGAAACTGTAGTCTGTGATAGTTCCGATGAGTGTTCCAAGCAAAATCTGAATCCTTTTGGCCCCTAGATGTGAACCTAAATAAATGAGCCAAAAATTAAAAAAGAATGAACAGTGAAAAATGTGAAAAAAAAAAAGAAAATTTTAAAATATAGATATTTTCATGACAGCTTCCTCAAAGAGTTATATTATAAGGAAAGCAAATAGAGGCGTGTTTCTTTTTCCTTAAGTAAATATGGTTGCTGGGTGAGATTTTCAATGGAAAGTTTTTTTTAAGAAAATGATAATACGTACAAACAAAAATCATGAGGTCATATGAAAAATGAGTTTTGAAGTTTTGATACATTTGCTATTTGTATCCTTATTTGCATCAGAATCTCCAGAGGAAGTTGCCCCTGGATTTCTCAGGCTTGGCTCAAAACATGCAGCATCGGTCACTGTGATAAGCATTTCTTAGGCCCCAGAATGAACTGGTTTTTGTGCTTTCCTACAAATACAAAATGTCACCCAAATAAGAAACTATGAAAAAGGAAACTCAAGATTAACAAAGCTAAAATTTTAGCTCCCTCTTCTTTTTTCTTATCAAGCCATGTAGTTAATGAAGAGGACTTTTTTTTCTGTTTAAAAATTGTTCTTTTAAGTGTGTGTGTGTGCACGCGCGTGTGCTCACACACACACACACACAGTATTCACAGAGTTGTTCTGCCAAAAATCTATAGGAAATGCTCAATTTTGAGCAAAAAGTCATTATAAACAACAGCAACTCCCTCACCCAATCAAAGAAAGAAAAATTCTTCTAGCACTCTTTGAACCTTAAACAGTGTTTTTATAGGCCAGCTCATTGTTTTTCTTCCCTCTGAAAAATTAAAAACGATAACTGTTTTGATAAGTTATACAGAGAAAGACAATTCCCATGATTTCACTCCTTGACAAAGAACAGCTACCTTACTTCTTTTCTGCCCCATGTATGCAAACTCACAGATATAAAATCTCCCCTCTGAAGAAGCAATGTGGGACCAACAAAACTATCTTGCATTCTGCCCCATCTACCCAGGGGAAATCTTCCTGCCTCTCACGTGAGAGGTGGAGAAGTCGCAGGGACGAGGTGTGGGAGAAGAGATAGTGACCACAGCCTGCTGTCGTGGTGGCTCTCAGGGTGGCTTCTACTCTGTCACCACTTGATCTGGGTTTTCTCTCA